CAGCCGACTTTCCATTGACCTGGAAATCTGCACACAGATGTAGTATGACCTGATCGTACTAAGCACAAAAACTAAGACCGGCACGCAACGTCCATTAGGTCCCACTCCTATTACCCATTAAGTGAGTGGTAGTTGTTGCTCTCTGTTGCAGCTCATTCAAATTTCGCAATAAATTGCGAAAAGGGAAGATAATGATATCTTCACCACGATGAGCACGAAAGCAAGACCTATACTGGCACCCATAGCAGGCTAAAATCGCGAATATTGAATCTGGATACGAATCTGGATTTGTTGCCAAGCTTGACGAACCCAAGTCGAGTGGACCCCTCTTCAAGAAATCCTGGATCCGACCCTGGGCTCAGTGACTGTAGGCAGAACCTATACCCTTACTCTTCCCTCTAACGGCGTTACCATAAGGGGGGCACGCAGGGGAAGCAGAAGAATACGTGGCCCCTTAGGTCCTTAGATTCCGAGGGACCCGTTAAGCTCCACGGGACCGAAGATCGACGGCCTGATCGCAGGGTCCGAAGGGCAGGCCGGGAGGCATATGAAGGGACCCCAGTCCGCCAGGCTAGGCTCTTAAACGTCAGTCAAAGGTCCTCTTGCACCGATGATGCGCATGCTGTGCGCCACGAAGATGAGTAGAAAGCTTACTTATAAAAAATGCCTGCATGTCATAATCTGACGACAGCGTGCCGTTTTGGCGAGGATCCGCAAAGCAGCCGACTTCTGCCGGGTTGAAATTTGGTCTGCATCTCACTTAAAATGGTACACTTAACACGCGCTCGGGTGGGGGTCAACTTGACCCCGCTTCCATGGCTTTTCCAGAATGGTCTCCGAACGGTGCGGCGTGGCCGCGCCAATTTTTGCATAGCTGTAGACAACCGAATAGCAGATCGTTTGATATACAGCATTTAGATCTCCCTTGTAAGGTCGCTGACCTATGGCAGGTCAAAGTCAAGCCGTGGTTTCAGAGAAGGCACTTTCTAGGGGCTCGTTCAATCTGATGCAACAACGCAGTGTTTGACGAAGCCACACATCTCTGAGATGCTTTCTTAGGCAACACAAATATTGAATGAGCAAATCGCGTTGCGTTGAAACTCAGGCATGAAGGTCAGACCAAGGTCAAAACCAACCTGTTTTATTACTCTAGGGCTTGCTGTATGGGATAGTTTCTGGTGCTTATTTCGAATTTATTGAAAACAGGAAACGTATTATACATCTTTCATTGACCGCTTATAGGTCAGAACAGGTCATTGATCTGAGAAGACCCAGGTCGACATTTTGTTTTTAGGAACATACTGCCTAGTGTAATTCAAATTAGCCGCTAATTCAAACGCAAAACTCAGGCAGTTTGCGTGATTTTGGTAACCATGACCTTCAAAAGGCCAAACAAGGTTACAGACCTTGAATGGGCTTGTGATCTTTTGCTTAGAAACAGCTATCTAGGTTCTGGGGGCACTTTGGAAACCAGCCTGGGATTTAATCTTATTTTACCTAAAAGTCGTGACATAGGAACCTGAAACTTTGACCAAAGTGAGTTCACGTACCAGTTAATATACCCTGCAAATTTTGTGTCTCTAGCTTTCTTAGCTCTCGAGATCTCGGGGGGGGGGGGGTCAAATTGACTCCTCACCCGAAAGAAGGATATCTAGCCGGCCACCCAGGCGCGTGTTAAAGAATGAAAAAGTGAATGGGAAAGCGTCGCGTGGTTTTTCTGCGCTTCATCAAGCAAAATCCTGACTTCCTTGCATTGTCAAAGACTTTCTGATTATATCGATTTGGTATATGATAGCCTTAAGATTAGCGTTTAGCCCGATCATTTTGAAGGGGGGGGAACTCCAGTCCAAAAGTAGGGGTGGGGGAGAGCCCCCCCCCCCCATTGCCTACCCTATTCCCGTGCCTTTTCCTTGCAACATGCGTATGTGTCAAGCACAACACTCTTTTATAACTATAACACAATTAAAATCGAATAATCAAGAAAACCAAGACCGAAGGAGAAAACGGGAAGGTTTGAAAGCTGTCACAAATAAGCAGCAGGCCGGAAGAAGGAAAAACTCAGTTGGCTGTTTAAATTCAATACCGAGTATGTCCCGTCTTGGCGGTACTGGGCGGGGTGCTGATCGATCTGCAAATAAAACATACCGTAAGTACCATTCTGAATGAGGCATCATTACAAAACGAGCACGTCGCCTGCTGAGTGGCTTACTAACACATTTAGTGATCAGCAGACTGTTGAGGTCACACACCGCGTTATTGTAACGGCGAGAGCTCCCACTTCTACTCCAGCTACTGGGGCAAGGTACGGAATTACCATAACGTGGCTAAACGGGCGGGGTTTCCCACAACGAAGACCGTTAAGACGGTGTGGAGCATTTAAAGGCGGCAGTTATTAGTTCGCTTGCAGAACAAGTGCACTCACTTATGCTACACTGCGGTTATCGTGCGTCATAAGCGTGCTATAACTTGACACAGTGTGTTATCACATGGGATAAGTGTGTTATCAAGTGCCGTATGCGTGTTATCACATGGCATAGCGTGTTATCCATGTGATAAGTGTGCTACCCATGTCATAAGTGTGTTAACACATATCATAAGTATATTATGACCTGCTATAAGTGAGTTGTCACAAGTTATGGGTGTGTTACCACATGGCATAGGTGTGTTATCACATGCCATAAGTGAGTTACCCATATCACCAGTGTGTCATCACATGTCATAAGTGTGTTATCATGCGCCATAAGCGTTTCATCACATGCCAGAAGTCAATTATCGCGTGACACAAATATGTTATCAAATGTCATAAGCGTGTTATTACATGTCATAAGTGTGTTATCCATGTCATAAGTGTTGGTTGCATTCCTGGCATCCTCATCTATCGTTGAATGAACCTTTTGACTTGCCGCTGCTCCCCAGACAATGATTTCACAAATGGAAGATGGTTGTTCTGAGGTCGTTTCGACTAAAACTATCCACAAGCGAAGCATTACTGTGTGCGACAAGCACGGTACAACCTGCCATAAATCTCAGGCCCGTTGAACGCATTCACCCGCCCGTATGACAAGAGCCCAGAGCCGCCCGTCCACCAGTGCCACAGGAGCAGTGCTGCCGGGCGGCGCTGGGCCCGGCGCGGCGCCACCGGAGCAGTGCTGCCGGGCGGCGCTGGGCCCGGCGCGCGCCACCGGAGCAGTGCTGCCGGGCGGCACTGGGCCCGGCGCGGCGCCACCGGAGCAGTGCTGCCGGGCGGCACTGGGCCTGGCGCGGCGCCACCGGAGCAGCGCTGCCGGGCGGCACTGGGCCTGGCGCGGCGCCACCGGAGCAGTGCTGCCGGGCGGCGCTGGGACTGGCGCAGTGCCGAGCGCTCACCCTCTCCACCGTGAGCCGGTCCCGGGCGCAGCCGGGCCCGCCGGCGATCTGCAACGCCGTCAAGTGCAGCTGGACCGTCTGGTACCGGGTGGCCGCGATGGTCCAGACGCAGAGTAGGTTGGCCGGATACTGGGCGGGGTGGCCGGGGCTCTGAAGGATCTGCACCGTCTCGGTAGCCGCCAGGGTGGTCCGGCCGCACACAGCTGGAAACGCCGGCACGACCTCACACCGCTGACCGGAACAGCAGCCGCGCGCGTCACGACAAAGCCGACGGAGCAGGGCCGCGTGCGTGTTGTAGCCCACGGCGGGGGAGGGCAGCGGTCGTCGCTCCATGTCCGCATGGTTGGGTCCATCAGCCGTTGTCCCCGCCGCCGCCCGCACAGTAAGCACCGCTGTCACAGTGTGCTGCCCGCCCCACATACAGCGCGAGTGACGTCAGCATGGGGGGTCAATGCAGGCCTCGTCACTCACAGTCGACGTTCGTGACGGTGGCTGTGAATCCGGAACGATGGATCTCCCTGTCTGAGTAGAAGCGCACGTACAGCCGGCTGGAGGAGGCAGTGATGGCCGGCGGCAGCTGTGTACCGCAGTAGCGGTCCACCAGCGGTGCCGCCGGACTCAGGCCGTCACGTACCTGGGAGCGGTGCGCAACTCAGCAACACTGAAGACCTAGTATGGCGACCGGTAGGTGGCGACACAGCGGGCGCAGCAAGAGCTAAAGCCAACCGCAGGGAATGGGAAATACGAACAAGTTGTCTCAGAATACCGACGACGTCCCGTGTGTTAGCCATGCAAGCAGCGCCTCCAAGGAGCTCGTGTACAATTGGGCTATTCATTGTCCTTGCAGTGGTACGGACGCCTGACCTCCAGGTAGTCATAGGGGCAGGCGGCCGAGCTGGAGCCGTTGACCTCGACGTTAAACGGCTGGTGGACGGTGAAGCGCAGCACGCGGCCCTCGTCGCCGCGCAGCAGCCAGCGACAGTCTAGGTCGTCCTCGTAGCCGCCGTCGCCGTCGGTGTCGGGCGAACGCAGCGTCTGCTGCCCCGAGCCGGAGACGGTCAGCTCGCCGCCGCAGCCCTGGTTCGGGACCTGACGGCCGGTCAGGCGTGGTCAGAGGGTGAGGCGCTGGTCAGCTCGCCGCCGCAGCCCTGGTTCGGACCTGGCGGCCGGTCAGGCGTGGTCAGAGGGTGAGGCGCCGGTCAGAGATGGTCAGAGGGTGAGGCGCCGGTCAGAGATGGTCAGAGGGGGAGGCGCCGGTCAGAGATGGTCAGAGGGGGAGGCACCGACACCTCGCCGCCGCAGCCCTGACTCGGACCTGACGGCCGGTCAGGGGTGGTCAGAGGGTGAGGCGCCGGCCAGCTCGCCGTCTGCATATGTCGGTTTGGCCGCCCACAGTTCTGTGGCCAGACGCATAGCACAGACTTGCAGTGCGTTTGTACAAAGTAATGTAAGCTCGTGGGCTTTTTTGGTATCAGATAAATTCACCTTCAGATTGATAAATCGTAGTAGTCAGATCAAGTCAGGTCAATTTGCGATTGCGGAACTAAATGCTACACTCAAGTCGTTAATACATCGGTGTGCATTCACGCTAAAGAACGATTCGATGCTCCGTGAAAGTCTAGCGTCGTACTGCACATCAACACAGACTAAAACAATACCTGCGATTGTTCGCTTGCCTAATTAATTCAGATGCACTGTGTATTATAAAACGTATTCCACCTAGCTGTTTCGTTTTTCAACTATAAACATTTGCCTGACATCTCTTCAAGAGTTCTGCGGGTGGTGCCATCTGGTGGCGTGGCACAGAGCTGTCCGGAGTTCGGAGTTTTGCGGGTGGTGCCATCTGGTGGCGTGGCACAGAGCTGTCCGGAGTGCGGAGCCACCGCTGGCCAGCCAACATACCGACGGAGAACAGCACTGCCGCCTTGAAGCCTGTACGCTGCACGGAACTGTCCGTGACGAACTGGATTGTAGCCAGGTTTGAAGTGGTGACCTGGAAAAGGTACCGCAATGGGTGGAATGGGTTGTCGCAAGATGCACCGTCAAACGCGGGGCTCATCCGACGAACTAGGAACCTTGGATATTTGACAGCCCGCAGTGCCTCCTTTCGAGCGTCGAGCAATGCGGTGGTCATGAAGCAACAGTCGCATGGGAATGCCGAATTTGAATGGTCATTAGCAAGAGGTGGCTATGTGAGCTTAAACGTTAAACGTGACAAGGTCTGACAGGCTCTTTCAACATGTCTGATGTTTCCCGTGATCGCACAAACATTTCCGACCCTGTCCTTGAGTAATATTTCGTCCCCTTCGTCGGAGGGGAACTTTGAAACATCTGCAACGAAGAGAAAGGGCAAGACTTATACGCAGCAGTACCGATCTGAATAGGGGGGGGGGGGGGGCAGCCGCCCCCTTCCCCATGCTTTGGACACCTGAAACATTTACTCTACGTCCAACTCTGAGTCCAAGTCTGGAGACATGCGCCGGCTCGGCTCTCACCGAGTGAGGCGGGCTCGTGGTCATGTTCCCGCAGAACTTGTCCACCTGCTCCTCCGGGTTGGTCCACCGGTCGTCAAAGACGCTCACCGAGTCATATGGACAACCCGTGCCACCCTCTAGGTCCATGTAGACAAACCTGGTCGAAATATACGCATGTCATTTGTATAGCGCGGTAGCTGGGCTCACAAACCGGCGGCGCCAGGCACGCAGCGTAAACATTTGCCGATAAACGCATGCAAGTGGCGTGTTCACTGGTATTCAAGAGCAACTCGTTGACGCAATCTAAGTTGGGGGGTGGATAAGCAAATAACAACACAAAGTCGGTCCCGACAGCGTGTTGTTAGCTCATTTACGCGAAGGGCAAGTGATACCAGTCAAAAAATAAAAGTGTTTTTGCAACTATCAGGAATCGTTCAGAGTTTCTTAACCATCTCTAATCTTTTAAAGCATGCGAGGCACACCGCAGTGAAACAGAGAGCATTTCAAAAGCATGCAGACAAAAACCACGGACAGATCTGGCCAGATCAGCGCAAGACGAGGAAGCGGCTTCAGTCACTCACCGCACGAGCACCACCTGCCCAGCTGGCGCCGTGACGGACCACGTACAGTTGGCGCTGCGGTGGTACTTCCGTCGGATGACTGGGTGACTGTATGATGCCTGGCTCAGTAATCTGACCACCACAGGCTGAAGCACGTCGTCCACATGAGTACCAGCAACCCGAAGATCTTCGCACAGCACATATATTTACTACTGACAGCATACTGACGCAACACACATGTGTACCCTGCTGGCGGCATACTGATGTAACATGGATGTGTACTCTGCTGACGGCATACTGACGTAGCACACACGTGTACCTTACTGACGGCATGCTGTCGTAACACAGACATGTACTCTGCTAACGACATACTAATGTAACACAGACGTGTACACTTCCGACGGCGTACTAACGTAACACAGACGTGCACTCTGCTGAAGGCATACTGACGTAACACAGACGTGCACTCTGCTGACGGCATACTGATGTGACACAGACGTGGACTCTGCTGAAAGCATACTGACGTAACACAGACGTGTACTCTGCCGACGGCGTACTGACGTAACACAGTCGTGCATTCTGCTGAAGGCATACTGACGTAACATAGACATGTACTCGCTGACGGCATACTGATGTAACACAGACGTGTACTCTGCCGACGGCATACTGACATAACACAGCCGTGCACTCTGCTGACGAAATACTGACGTAAAACAGGCGTGCACTCTGCCGACAGCATGCTGATGTAACACAGGCGTGTACTCGCTGACGGCATACTGATGTAACACAGACTTGTACTCTGCTGACGGAATACTGACGTAACGAAGTCGTGCAATCTGCTGACGGCATACTGATGTAACACAAACGTGTACTCTGCCGACGGCATACTGACGTAACGCAGCCGTGTACTCTGCTGACGGCATACTGACGTATACAGCCGTGTACTCTGCCGACGGCATACTGACCTGACACGGTGTACTGGGCGTGCCAGCCGGCGCCGACGATGGAGAAGTCGGTGCGGAATCGCAGTGTGAGCGGGCCGCGCACGCTGAGCCGGGCCGGCCGCCGGTCGCCGCACGCGCTCAGCCTCGCCGTGCCGGCCGTGCTGTTGCCCTCGAACACGGTCAGGTTGTCGTACCGACAGCCGTCCGCGTCTGGAGAGACGGCATACGCGCGTCAGGCCACCGCCGGGCGGCGCGGCGTGAGCAGGGCAACAGAGGCACGCTTGGATGGCGGGGCGCGGACAGCCGGCCAACCGGCGTCACTCGCTCGCTCGCCCCCCAGGTGCCGGTGTCAAGGGAGAGGCTGGCGGCGGGATAGCGGGGCACACGGACCACCAGCCAGCCCCGCTCGCTCGCTCGCTGGGGCGCCACCGAGGCATTGGGAATGCACGATCCGGAGAGAGGAATGAGAAAGGATTTGCTATGACGGGTCGAAATACCTCCCCCCCCCCTCCCCCGCACGATTCCTGATCAGCAACGCACGGGACGTGACTTCGGCGCATGACATCATTGGCCTGTCCATAAAGTCAACAATGGCGTGAGTCACCTCACCTTCCAAGAAGAACGGACCGACAAAGTTCAGAGTCACGTAGTCCTGGGGCATTGTCAAGATGCGATACACGCAGTCTAAATTGTTCTTGTAGCCATTAGGATAGCCAGGCGAGCTGAATTCACCACTTTCACCCGTAAAGTCCTCTCCACAGATCGCGCTCCATTGGGCCTGTGGCAGAGATAGCGATGTGTGTCACATAGCGACCCTGCCAGAATTATGGCCCTAAATTATCATAACTGCGTGAACCAGTTTCGGTTTGCGCCAGGCTTCCAGCGATAACATGTCTGTTCTGAAGGAGGGCAGTGTGCCATCACCAGTTCACTAATCATTCGTTCAGATGAAAACCGTTTGTGAGAACGCGAAGTACCTTTGCCAAGATTTTGCGATATTTATATAGACATTAGCGCACCGGTGCAATTAAACGAGCCTTGATTTTCACCGAGGGCTCTCTTAACGTTAACAATTAAAATGTGTGTTAATCCATTTGCTCAAAAGATGTGAAAGAGTCATGAATGCAGCCAACTGTTCAACTTACCTTAAAACCATTCCCATTGTGGTTGTTACTATTCGTCGTAAATCGTATTTTCAGAATGTTTCGGGTGCTTGTTATCAGTGGAGGGAATTGCTTTCCGCAGAATCGTCCCAGCGATCTATACTCTGCAGACACTTGCTCCCAGACCTGCGAACACCGACTGGTCACGCTCTAGAAATAACAGCCAGGTCAGAGTCACACCAAAACGGCATTGGGCGTATTGTGCGCTGGACTCTGAAGCACAACTTTTGTATATTCTGGCTTGGGAGTGATGCAATGGAGCGAAAACAGTCGTCAAAGCTCAGTTGATCAAACGTTGTGGCCATACCTCATAACGCAAGGTGGTTTTTCAACAACAGCGTGGACAGGCAGCATCTGGTCAACCGAACGAAATATTTCAACGCTGAACTTGGACATCATCTCCCCTCACTCACTCACTCACTCACTCACTCGATTACTCACTCGCACTCGCTGGTCTGTGGGCCCATCTGTAAATTACGTGACGCTGGGGAGGGTGGAGGGGTGTGGGTGTCAGCTGGTTCACGGCAAGAAATAAATCAGGGACGGGAGAATTGCCATGAAACACAGTTTTGCAGACCAGCGAATGACATTAAATCAAAAAGGAGAAGACCCTTTCCCTCAAATTTAAGTCACCGAGTACCTTACGCGACTAGGTAGCTCCGGGAAAATGAGGATCCTGTGCTTTTTTTTAATGTTGAAGGCCTTACAGAGGTGACCTAGAACAAGGCCGTCTCTCTTATTGTCAGCAATGTCAATAAAGGAAAATGGAGACTCAAATAATGACAGATGAAGGTGCCGCCACCTGCAAATTTTTTCGCTTTTGAGACGCAGATTTACTAGCCAACTGAGATAGGTGGGACCCCCGCTAAGCAGCTAGTGACCTCCGCCCTCGTGCACAGTCTCTGGCATCTATGTGATCGCGCCGTCCCTGGAAACGATTCCATGCTTGCTATTGGGGGGGGGGGGGGGGGGGGGGGGGGAGAGAGAGGCATGGCTTGGCCTTACAATCATTTTTAGAAGGGTTCAATGCCGGATTTGGCAGAACTTGAGAATGGAAGGCAGGAATTAAAGTCTACCAACACTTGCTTCACCTAAGTTATGGACTGACTCTATGCATCGCCATGCAATTTTTGATCAGCCCAGTCCACGACTGACCTGCACGAAGTCATTCTGGCATCCCTCGCTGGTCTCCAGGTCGAACTTCTGGACGAAGCGGAGCTGGAGTCGGTAGCCCGGCTGCGCGCGCACCTCCCACTCGCACTCAATGGAGGCTGCGTAGTCAGCCGGGAACTCGGGAGACTCCACAGCGCCCTCCATTGTGTGGTACACGCCTCCGCACCCTGTGGTCGCCGGCACAGTCAGCTCACCAGATGGCGCCACAGAGGCCGCTGCGGCCCCACCAACAGGCCGGTGTTCTGCCGCAGCCGTCCTGGTCGGGGGCGAGGGCGTGGCGAATCACTGCGTGCCACATGCACTGTGGACTCCAGCCCTGCAGCTGCAGGCGAGGTGAACACTGGTGGCCAGTCCCTGTGGGCGGGGCTCTGTCAGGATCACGACCCCCTCGCCAATGGGCGTGGGTATGTCAGGGTCACCATTCCCCTCACCTGTGGGCGGGCTCTGACAGGGTCACGACCTCCCCCCCCCCCTCCCCCCCCCCCCTCACCTGTGGGCGGGCTCTGACAGGTTCACGACCCCTCTGATCTGTGGGCGGGCTCTAAAAGGGTCACGACCTCCCCCCGCCTATGGGCGTGGGTATGTCAGGTTTACGATTCCCCTCACCTGTGGGCGGGCTCTGTCAGGGCCACGACTACCCTCCCCTGTGGGCGGGCTCTGACAGGGTTACGATTACCCTCACCTGTGGGCGGGCTCTGACAGGGTCACAACTACCCTCACCTGTGGGAGGGCTCCGTCAGGGCTACGATTACCTTCACCTGTGGGCGGGCTCTGACAGGGTCACAACTACCCTCACCTGTGGGAGGGCTCCGTCAGGGTCACAACTAGCCTCACCTGTGGGCGGGCTCTGACAGGGTTACGATTACCCTCACCTGTGGGCGGGCTCTGACATGGTCACAACTACCCTCACCTGTGGGAGGGCTCCGTCAGGGCTACGATTACCTTCACCTGTGGGCGGGCTCTGACAGGGTCACAACTACCCTCACCTGTGGGAGGGCTCCGTCAGGGTCACGACTCTCCTCACCTGTGGGCGGGCTTTGTCAGGGTCACGACTCTCCTCACCTGTGGGCGGGCTCTGACAGGGTCACGACTGCCTCGGCCGGCCCATCCCCGTCTCGCCAACCTGTCCCTAACAGAACTCGCCGACCTGTTCTCAGCTCTAATTGGCCTTCCGTCGTGACGAATCCCCGCCCGTGATTTGATCCCGCCTGCCTTCGCCCCGGACCCCAACCACCCGCCCTGACCTGACTCGGTCTCGGCCTGGAAGCCGCGGTGTTGGCCGGAGCTGTCGCTGTGGAACACCACCAGCAGACGGCTGGACTGGCCGTGCAGTGCCACCGCCGCCGTGGAGGAGCCGGTCAGTCGGCGCAGCTGTGGCGACGTCGAGCCCGGCCCGTTCAGCACCGACACGTAATCACCCGGGCCGAGGTCAACCCAGGCGAACCGCACCTGAAGACGACCGGCCGTGTCACGCGCTGCAGGCGCTCTGGGAACCTGCCGTTGTACGTCACGGCAACCGCAGTCCGCAGTCCAACGGCTTAGGGTGATGAGGTGGTAAGGGGGGGGGGGGGGCGAGGGCGATGAGGCCGTCTAGAGGAGGCGAGCTACGGCCCGACCGGTGCAGCGTCCTCAAACGGACGCGGCACAGGGAACGCCATTTTAGGCTTTCGATGCATAGTTCGGACGATCGGATTGTTTTCAGGGAACATCACATGCGCGTTTAGCGCCTGGTGTCCCGTGGTCATATAACTCCGGATGGGGCACTCGATCGACCGGGCTACGACCAGTCAGATTAAAACGAGACAAGAGCATAAATATAGCCGATGTCAGGGCACCGGGCCTGCAGCTTGCTCCGGCTACAGGAGGTATGGCCGTCCAACCACCAACCGGCCGCGTTTTCCCATCCGCATGCTTACTAAAGGGTAACCAATCATCGAAGCTTGTGTCCGTCAGAGGTCGGGTCGATGCCAGCTCAGTATTCAGTAGCACAAGTCGATGACGAATCAGTATTCAGAGTCACGGCCTATTGGATCGGGTTTACGCTGCAGCGTCAGGTGATCTAGCCGCCCAATGGACTGACAGAAGAAGCGGCGCGGAATTTGTTCATGACTGTCGTAGCAGGACCGTTGGGCGTAAGCCGGAATGTCCTGTAACATTCAAAAAGACCAGAATATCGAGTTGTGCAATTGGAATGGTTCGGCTGATTGCTGATCTTCCTGACTCACCAAGTATGGACGCGTTAATTTATGCTCCATGTTGAGCCCAGTTTGGCAACGCCATGGTCAACGTAAAAACACCACGAAAACGTGTCTCATTCTTGGAGCACTGCACTAACACCAACACCACAAGTATACAGCAAAACGCGCTGGGCATTGACAATTCAACGATACGAGATGTCAATCAGCATTATAAAGCCATCAGAAATAAAAAACACAAATTATTTGCTGCGACGGAACCCTCACTTGAAAATCAAAATGCCGGTCTAACCCTGCTGGTTCTAATGAACGCGTTCGATCCCACTTTACTAATTCGCGGGTCGGAAGGGTTAGCCTTTGGACTCAAGCACGGAGTGATGCCTGGTAACAAGACGGCATCACCGGCGCGGAGCAGCACACACCAAGCTCCTTCTAATCATGCCATCGGAGTAAAGTGATTATAAGTGTCATGCTGCGCAGCTCACCACCTGCAGCGCATCTGCGGACTTACCCGAGCCGTCTGCTGGTGCTCGAACTCGACCAGCCAGGCGCAGTCCATGCCGTTGGGGTAATCAGACGGATAGCCGGGCGAGTAGATGCGCTGCCCCGGTCCGCTGACCAGGCCTCCGCACGGCTTCACGGCATACGTCAGGCTGAAGAATGATGTCCAGGGCTCTCCTGGGGACTGCGTCACGGACCAATGTCGGACGTCAATCATCATCATCCAGTCATGTCCCAGCTCCAGGGCTCTCCTGGGATTGCGTCACGGACCATCGTCGGACGTCAATCATCATCATCCAGTCATGTCCCAGCTCCAGGGCTCTCCGAGGACTGCGTCACGAACCACCGTCGGAGGTCAGTCATCATCATCCAGTCATGTCCCAACCCCAGGGGGTCTCTCGGGGACTGCGTCACGAACCACTGTCGGAAGGTCAATCACCATCATCCAGTCATGTCCCAGCTCCAGGACTCCCCTGACGACCACGTCACGGACCATCGCTGGGCCTATCTAATCATCATCCCCGTCTTGTCCCAGCTCTAGGACTCTCCTGAGGACCGCGTCACGGACCATCGCTGAACTCCAATCATCATCATCCCGTCATGTCCCAGCTCCCCCGCATGTGTTGCATATCCGGGATATTTGGGGATGAGGCTTGGCCTGAGATGCAGAATAATGCGATGCAATATGGTAAGGTGAGTAACTGCTAAAACCGGGCGACAGTATTGGAACATTTATCGACTGTAAGACAAACGGCTTGTCGAAAGCAAATAGCAAGCATATTCTAGCGGTATAGACATCGCCTCGGGTGGCTTCGCCACAGGTCAGGGGCTGAAGTGGGCCCTCAAACCATTTAAGATGGCTCATCAACGCCCATGTGCATAACGTTACATTTCCTAAAATTACCGGGGATTTTGACCCCATCCGCTATCCCCAAGGCGAAGCCAATGTATCAAGGTTACTGGCAACCAACACTACTCAGGTGACTTTCGTGGCTCCGCTGCGTCTGCCGACGGTGACAACCTCATGTTGGTGGTCGCGGGTCTAGCGCGGCTCACACCGTGCGATGAGAAACACGCCGCAACCCCCAAAGCCTCAACTCTAGTTTGGTTGGCTGGGCGTTGGACACTGACGAATGGGTGGCAGGTACACAGGTTTGCATCCACGAAACCGTGGTTATGTGACTTATTTCTGACCGCTTTTAAGCAAGTGGTTAGGAAATTCATGTTATCCTAGTCGCGGTGTGTCACGGTTTAGCGAGACGCCCTTGAAACATTTTGGTGGAAACTTTGCGCTGGACTGGAATCTGGCTTTTGCGGGGGGCGGGTTCCTGGTCCCATTAATAATCTGTCTTCGGAAAGAACTTTGCTTTCTTTCCACCCAAACAGTCGGTCACATTTGAAACATAAATATAAAAACGAGAACCAACCATGGGAGACAGCGGCTGGATTTAGACCGTGGGTAGCTCCAAAAATTGAGATGAGCGTATTTATGGACAACTCCAGCAGCGCTCCACATTTAACTACATATTTCCCTAACACCAGGAATTCATGCTCGTGCCAACGCTGCATACTATTAATACACTGCCTTGCCACTCGATCGGCACCGTCCAAGCTCTTTACCGGGTAATTTCAAATCTAGCCCGATTTCAGTGTATATTATGACCAAGTAGCATCGCAGCATAAGCTCTTCAGACATGGCTTCCCCCTTATGCGCTTGCTGCGAAAGACGCTGTGTGTGCAAAATTTATCTTGGGACGCCCTGTCTATAGCAATAGTGGAGGCGTCTGGATTTGTCCAAAATTGATGCATGACGGAAGCACCCCTGTTTTCAGACTTTAAAAAGTCGCACGCTAAATGGTTGGGAACACTATGGCATGTCATACATCAAACACATATCCGACCTGAGTTGTGTAGCTTTCCAGCTCTGGATGTGCCCTGCACCGATGATACACACGAGATATCCTGCGTCGCTCTATATAAAAGTTTAGCACTCTCTGCGCGCAGTGCCGACGTGCTCGCTAGCACTGACGTGCTGTGCTGGGACTCTGTCACAATGATGTGCTCTGCTGGGACTCTGTCATAATGAGCACACGCTCACGTGCTGTGCTGAGATTCTGCACAATGAGCACACGCTGATATGCTCTGATGGGACCCTGTCACAATGATGTGCTGTGCTGGGACTCTGTCATGAGTACACGCTCACGTGCTGTGCTGAGATTCTGCACAATGAGTACACGCTGATATGCTCTGATGGTACTCTGTCACAATGATGTGCTGTGCTGGGACTCTGTCATGAGTACACGCTCACGTTCTGTGCTGGGACTCTGCACAATGAGCGCACGCCGATATCTCTGACGATACTCTGTCACCATGAGTACACGCTGACAAGCTCTGTTGGGACTCTGTCACAATGAGCACATGCTTATCGTGCGCTGCTGAGACGCTATCACAGTGATGTGCTCCGCTGGGACTCTGTCACGGTGGGAACACACTGATATGCTCCGCTGGGACTCAATCACAATGATGTGCTCAGCTGGAACTCTGTCACGAGTACACGCTGATGTGCTCTGTTGGGACTTTGCCACCATGAGTACAAACTGATGTGTCCTGCTGAGACTCCATCACGGTGATGTGCTCTGCTGGGACTCTGTCACGGTGAGAACATACTGATATGCTCCGCTGGGACTCAATTACAGTAATGTGCTCAGCTGGAACTCTGTCGCGAGTGCATGCTGATGTGCTCTGCTGGAACTCGGTCACAATGATAACGCAATGATGTGCTCTGCTGGGACTCTGTCACAGTGAGTATATACACTGATGTGCGCTGATAGGGTCTTCAACTTCTGCAATGGTTCCTTCTTTCGCGTCAGTCATAGTTTGGACCAGGGTCTGGGGAATGTGGGCACGATTCGCATCAGCGGACCAGCAGAGCACGCTTTCCGCGAAGGGTTTTGTGCATCTTTCTCGTGTCCCCACGTCGTTATCAGAAGGTGCTCCACCTTGTTCAAACCACAACTCGTTTTCCCATTATAACCGGTTCGGTCTGAACCAGCAGTTCACCCAGCTCACTTGGTGAAAACCGAGTCCTGCAAATCAAATTATAGTCAAACAAATCATTCTGTCGTGGTCAAATTCGAAAGAGGAAAAATAGAGCCTCGGTTCTTTGACTTTGCGCCACCACACGTGTAGCGCCGTCGCTACTCGTAAAACAAGCTGAGCCTCGCGAAGGGATGAACGCCAGCTACTCGTAAAACAAGCTGAGCCTCGCGAAGGATGAACGCCAGCCGGCTTACCGCATATGTCAGCTGAAAATCTGTGAACGGGATGTGGAGCGGTGGAGGAACTGTTGTGTTTCCACAGACGACTTCGGTAGTCTCACCCAGCTCATCTGCGAAGCGCGCGTCAGTTGGTGTCGGTGCACAGGAGTACGAGACCACAGCAAGCTGAATCACGCCAGGTCTAAGAGCACGCTGCATGCGATAGTTTTATCAAAAGTCGCTCACGCTGTAAAACATCGTATGTGTTTCGCTGGCGTTCAGTCTCATTTGCATGTTTTGCGTGTTCTGTGTTGATCTATGTAATATGTACTGACGCGGCGTTAGAAAAGCTACTCGCTGGCTTTCGCCAAGGTTCGCAATAATAATAAGAATAATTGTTATCATACTAATAATAATGGCAGTGATAATAATACTAATGATAGCAATAATAATGATAATAATTTTAATGATGATAATAATAATAATGGTGATAATAACAATAATAATAATACAATAGCAAGCCGAAAAGCCATTCAAAGAGGCTTGACTGAAACAGGTATAACCAAAAGCAATGTGGCAGCTGGGTAAACTTGACAAGCGCTGCTCGAAGAATGGGGAGCGCTATGATAGACTGTGACAGCAGGAGATGTCACACCTACACGACTGACACTATCGGTTTCAAGGCTCCGTTTCTATACCTGGCTTCACGCGGAGACTCAGATGCAAACATTCGCCAAAGTCGGGCAGCGAGAAGGCGTTGAAGGTGACGAGCGTGCTGGCGTTGGCCACGCTGGGCAGGGTCAGCTGCCAGCGACACTCTGCAGGGCTTCCGAACGGCAGCGGGTACTGGGGCGACGCCAGGGAGCCGGGCGCGCTGGTTATCGCTCCGCCGCACACTGGGGAGGCCACACACTGTCAGCAGCGGTAACCGTGTGATTCGGCTGCAGTCAGGTGCGCTGGTTATCTCTCCGCCGTAGGATGGCAAGTTTGAAACAGACGCCTCAGGCTGCAAATTTACCGGTCGCTTCTCAGTGAACACGGATATACACAACGGAGAGGGGCTGCGATTTATATGGTGTGGATTGAGAGGTTTGCCTGTGGTATACCAATACTGGGCACCCATTTCATATTAGACAGCATGCACACAGACATACCGAATATTTCCCGGGACCGTAGTGCGTTATCTGTGTCAAATAGCATTTGCTGAAAACGGGTACAGACACTGGCTGATTCTCTCATATGTATGTATCTGGCTGGTTGCCTTATATGTATGCATCACCATGGCCGGGTTAAAGGGAGCGGGGTGCATCTCTCCCAACAGCAAAACGAGCCGTCTGGAAAAGGCGTCTTAACGCCAACCGGCTTGAGGCTATTGGACGCACCCGGCGGACTGCAGCCGGCCTGCGAGTGTCCCAGCGTACTGTATCTGTGACACTCACAGGCCGGCTGGCGCACCCGGCGGACTGCAGCCGGCCTGCGAGTGTCTCAGCGTACTGCATCTGTGACACTCACAGGCCGGCTGGCGCATCCGGCGAGCTGCAGCTGCGATACTCACAGGCCGGCTCGTGTCGACGAGTAGCGCAATCCGAACCCTCTCGCCGAGGTGCTGCCGACGCGCGAAGAGAAGATGATGGTCATCTGATTGCCGGTGGAGTTGATCACAGGAGGTGCGTCCGGCGCACAGTAGAAGTAGGCGCTCTCCGTGAAGTTCAGATGGGGAGACGAGGCGCCTTTCCATCCAACACCTGCAGGCACAGGTGGCAGCGACGGCGTAACTCTTTGCCGGGGTATGATACCGATTTTGCGTGTAAAATGCAATAGTGATTGCAGATATACTCGCGTCCATACGCCATCTTTTCTGTTTACCTTTCATGGGCCTTACCATTACCGGCGGTTATACAAGGTTTCCCGTGAACTGCTTCGACGAAGTGTTGTCTTCTGTGATCACGGTTGACGCCTGAGCATCAGACGAACCTCTAAATTACCTCTCCAGTTACACGCCTTGCATTCATCCTCTTTTTTGGGCCAAGTACTTGACTATCTAGAATCGCATGCGGCTGGCCCGACAGCGCCAGGTTAGTCGAGGTCAGACCCATGTCCCGCCTGGTGGCGGCGCGTCATACGAACCGTCAGCCAAGAGCGGCAGCCGCGCGCGCTGCGCGCCGCCGGCGGCAGCTGCCAGTCCGCGGTCTCCAGGCGAATGCGGCGCCCCTCGGGCACCTGCAGCCGCCAGATGCAGCGGCGCCGGCGCGGCACGCCGTGAGGGTAGCCTGGGCTGCTGAGCTCGCCGGCCGAGTCGTACCGCCAGCCACCGCAACCTGCGGCCGGCCGCCGCGTCACACGCCGGTCACACGCGCTGACCACGGCACGCGGTGACGACAACAAACGCTGACGGCAGCACGCGCTGATGGCAGCACGCGCTGACGGCAGCACGAGCTGACGGCGGCACGTGCTGACGGCGGCACGAGCTGAGGGCGGCACGCGCTGATGGCAGCACGCGCTGACGGCAGCACGAGCTGATGGCAGCACGCGCTGATGTCAGCACGAGCTGACGGCGGCACGCGCTGATGGCGCCACGTACTGATGACAGCGCGCGCTAAAGACAGATAAAGATGATGGTTACTTACTGACTGCGGTATCCGGCCACAGACAGATCTCGCTAACTCGCTTGACGTGCACTGGCGGCAAGACTCGCTCATGAGGTCACGCGCCGGTGTCAGCGTTTACGAACGCCGTCACTTACTGACACACTACCACTCACAGTACCATTCAGCAATACCTTCCGAAGCCAACACAACTTCAAGGTAGCCAATATCACAACGCATCCGTAAGTCAGCGCCGCAATCGCCGAGGCACCTGCGTAGAACATTAGCCTCGTGTGTGACGCTCCCATCGCTGTAAGCGGTCGCCCGTGGCAATGGCCACAGTCAGAGGACTGCTCCCACCTCTGCTGCTGACGTGTGCCCACCTTCCATGCTGGCCCGGAACCTCATAAGAAAGCCCGCGTTGTCCGTTTGGTGAGCGTCCGTTACAAACGTCACGTGGACGGAATTGGCCGAGGTTGCCACGCCGCTACCACGTTCGCTGCCGCAGAATCGACCCAGCACCTCGCCTGGAGTAGTGCAGGATCAGGTAAACCGTCAGCGACATCAGCAGCGGCAGCGGATGCAAGCATTTACCCCTCAAAAACGCTTCAAACGTTTCATGGATATTTTCACTCAAATAGTGCAAACCAATATCACCCGGTGCTGAAGGCGCGGCGAAGGAATGGACGTCGGAGATTTTGACCAGCTTTTTTCTTTAGACTTAGAAACTGTTTTTTGGGATCTTCATTTACAGGTTACCCACTGCTGACAGTCTTCAGGAGGTATGGCCTTGCCTGTGCTGTTGAAGTCGCGCATCTCGACGTAGTCCCTGGTGCAGTTGGGACTGCTCTCAAGGTCCAGTGTTCGGAACCACAGACGCATATAGTGGCCCGAGGGTCCCATGATGTGGTAGCTGCAGTTCCTGTTTGTGGTGTATGCATTTCTTGATATTGTCAACGAGCCCCTTCTGCCGTAGTAGGTACCACCACAGGTTGCTGGAGAAAGACGCAATGTTTGTAAAGGCTGAAATAATCAGGTTAGTTGTTTACGTTCTCCATGATACCTATTAGGCAAACATTAAGCCAGAAGAAACTTATGTTTCAAGTGATAAGCAAACATCAACTAAAAAGAAGAACAACCATCTATCACTGTCACTATCACATATCACTTGCAGCCCGGGTATCACTTATTTTCATTGACTGCTGTTAGATGATATGCGCTCTTATAGAAGGCAACAGCTGCGCAGGACATCCGGCCAAGTCTCTCCTTCCTCCCCCCAACACGCTAACTCAAGGCGCTGCGCCACCCTTCAGCATATCACTTGCAGTGACGCACGGCGGCGTATCTGACATTGAGCACATCATTTGCAGTGACGCACGCCGGCGTATCTGACATTGAGCACATCATTTGCGGTGACGCACGCCGGCGTATGTGACATTGAGCGTGTCGCGACGCCCAGGCACTCACCGATGGACACACGCGCCTTGAAGCCCATGCGCGGCTCGGTGGCGTTGGTGTAGTAGTTGATGAAGGCGGCGTTGCCGGAGGTGGTCTTGGTGGGCGGTCGCCTGTCCGAGCAGTGCCGGCGGCCCAGGCTAGGCGCCAGCTCGGTGCCGCCGTCCAGCACCTCCACGTACGCCTGTCGGCACCTGGCAATGACGGCCGATGTCCGTCAAACAGCCGAGAAGGGCCTCCGCTGTCGCCGACACGGTATTCAATCATCCAGGGCGCCTGACAGCATGCCTCTCTGAGCACGGCCTCTCAGACCGACAGGGAGCTGCTGACGGTTAAGAATGTCCGGCGTTTCCGTTTTCTAGTTGCCTGGAAGCGGGTAACACGCTAGAAGGCGACAAACATGCCATCTCTTTAGCAGCCGCATTCGGCACCTTGTACAGGATTGAGCAATCCAGGGACCGTCGTCAGATCATCAGCGTGGGCCCACCGTCCACCGCTCACCGTCCGGGACGAAGTGATGTCGAAAGTCCTCCATGAAATCGACCTTGACAGCGGTGGTAGCCGGCGAGACGACCGTCCACTGGCAGGCGGAGAAGGCCGGCGGGACGTTGGGATAGTTGGGGCGTGTTGATGACCAGCTGCGGCTCGGCGCGGTCAGCCGCAGCTGGCCGCCGCAGCCGGCCGCCGATGCGCGGTACCGCAGTCGGAAGCTGCCGGCTGCTGCTGGGCCGGTCAGCACCCAGCTTCACGTGCAGCCGGCTGCTGGAGCTTTCGGGCAGCTCCGGCACCGCGCCGCCGCAGAAGCGGCCGCTGCCCAGGTAAGGTGAGTCCAGCTCCGCGCCGTTGCGAATCTGGCGGCAGGAGGGCGAACGGGTCGGGCTCTGCGGAATGCCAGCAGTCTGACGCGGCGAACGGGTTGGGCCTCCGCACAGGGCGGGGCAGTCTGACGCGGCAAAAGTGTCGGGCTTCGCAGAAGGCGGGGCAGACTGACGTGGCAGGGATCAATTGTAGACGAGATCATTCGACGTGTTTGTTTTCAGCCGGAGAAGAGGAAACACAACAAAGTCGGATCTCGAATACTGCGTGGAAGAACGAGAGCTAAGCGTGGTTCTTAAGTGTTGTATCGCTCACTTGCAATCTCAACTATATGGAATGTTTTAGGAAGTTTTCCAAATATGTCAGCAGAAAGAGCGGAACACCACCGAGCACGTTACAGCTCCCATTGGTGTAAAACTGCAGAGGGCACTGCTGAGATCGGCGTGCAGCCGCTCGCCTCACCCACAACGTATCCGTTGGGGACATGACGAGTCTCCGGGGATGTCGAGGTCGGTGATCTCGGCCAGGATGGTGCGGCCGGGTCTCACGAGCAGCGTCCACTCGCAGGTCAGCCTGCCCTCGTGTCGTGCCGGGAAGCCGGGGCTGCTCACCACCCCATTCGGGTCGGTCAGGAAGCCGCCGCACACTGACGGTCGGACCCGGGCGAACCGTTACACCTCGCGTATATGAAGGACTTCCGCGAAACTCCAGGTTGGCAGAGCACAGGTGGAGGCAGGGCGTGGAGGAGCCTTTGCGGAGAAGTGCTGTGTGGCGCCTGCAGCAGCAAACCTCACCCGTATCGACGGTAACGTTGAAGCCGGCCTGCGTGTGACGCCGGTAGAAGGGCATCGCGGCGAACTCGAGCTTCAGCAGGCTCCCGCTAGCCGCCAGGGTCGTGCCGCCTTCAGAGCGGCGGCAGAGTGTTGCCAGCGGGACCCAGTTAGCGGTCCCCTGGTGACCTAAAGCGCGACGCAACACCAGCGTCAGCTGTCGGGGCGGCAGGTTTCCCAGGAGACCCGAAGCGCATTCAGTTAAGGCGTCACCTAATCTACCAGCCCATAAAATTGATACCAGCATTCTACGGCACCCGTGGCAGGTTTCAAAGCCCAATGCCTTTGACACGATGTATGGACAGCAAATAACGGCAGAAAAGCGCTTCCACAATCACTCTAGCGTCGCTACCGTCGAGTGTTAGCGCACCCAGCACCCAGTGTCAGTTCCCACCGTCGTAGACGGTGATGTTGTCCGAGGTGCACTGGAAGTAGTTGAAGAGGTCGACGGTGTTGACGCGCAGCTGAACACGCCTGTGCGGATCCGAGCTGATGGTCCAGCTGCAGAACTGGTTGCCCATGTAGCCGCCCGGGAAGCTGGGCGAGGTGATGTCGGTACGGTTGCCCTCGGCCAGGTACAGCGTGTACGCACAGGAGTCGGCCCCTGTCGACGCCGCACCACCGGCAGCCTGTGAGGCGATCGTCCAACACGGCGACTCGCAGCACAGGCAGCGTGTGTCAGGCAGGATGCTGGCGGATGGTCAGTGGGAGTACTCTTCAACACCTCACTTTGGTCCGAATTTCTGGGCCGCGGGGAGCCCGCCAGGCTACCGCCAGTAAGTCTCACACTCGGCCGACGTAGCAAAGGAGATCGCTGGTGCGCGGCTAGGACGCAGCGAAGCCGGCACGACGGATCCGCAAATTTCTGGGTCTCGGAGCCGGCTGAGGATAAGGCGGGGTTGACTGCTCAACTTGCGAACAGATGTTCTACACTGAGCCTTTTACGCTTCCCGGGCTAAGGTCATAAGACAGGATGCTGCATCACATTTCGGAGCAGCCGGATCACGTCTATAATGATATGCTACGTTACATGCCACCATGTGCGCTGTACGTGCAACTCGCGATTTCGAACCCGTTCCGGGAAGAACGCGAGTTTCCGGGTACCCGAAGCAGTGGTCATCTCCGTTTCAAAGTCTGGTAAGTTCGGCATAGACCCGCTTGACTGACGCCCCAGTTTGCTCACATTGTAACTCTGTAAGTTAGGAAAGACAAACGCCACAACATCTTTGCAGAACATCTTTGCATCTTTTACAGCATCTTTTCGGTGGTTTTCGGAGATATCGTAACACTGTCGATCACATGTTTCCAATCGGCACCGTAATAGGTGCTGCTTTCAAGAGAAATACAGCACGTGAGGGCGGTGTTGTTGACAGCCTACATGTACAGGATGTCAAACGGAAAAAAAAACACAAGCAAAAGCGGGTAATTTCTGGTCGGCCCGGACCCAACCGACACTGACCGGACTGCGCAACGTCTCCGGGCGGAGGCCGCTGGCTCAGCTGCTGCCAGCGCAGCTTGAAGCGCGAGCCCGAGTAGCGCGGTCGGTTGACGAAGTGGACCAGCACCTCGTTGGAGGAGGAGACGAGTGGCTCGGGTAGGTCCATGCCGCAGACGGGCTCGCCCAGGGGCGGCGCCGACCGGTCCGGCCCGTCATACACCTGACCGGCAGGCATGGGTGTCAGGGGTCGCCAGTGGTTACAAAGGTCGCACACGGGTCACAGCGGTCACGCCCTGGGCACAGAGGTCACACACAGGTCACAGGAGTAACGCACGGGTCACAGAGGCTACACAAGGTCGCAGGGGTCTGTGTGTGGGTCGCGGAGAGGTTGGCTTACAGGGATGACAAGGATCCAGGGCTGCACGGGACCATTGGAGGCAGGGCTGCTGCCTCTTGAGAGAGGATGTTGTTCAACATGTGTTTGACGCTGTGATGGGAGTCTTCACAAACATGCTTTGGAATATGCGCACAGCCAAGATTTTGTTGAGGGGTGGGTGATGAAGAGATGGGGCGGAGCTCATCCAGAATTCCTGACGGCGATTTCGAACTTTCGGTCAAGCGTTATTCATGGCACTAAAAGAAAAAGTGCGGGCCTAAGGTAGTGAGCTGTCCAATCCCTCGCCGCACCCACCCCCACCCCCCGGACCGCATCTGTGGTTTGAGGTGTGACACGACACGTGAATCATTGTCATGATGTGACCAATAATGTGCCAAGCATCCTGTTCTTGTTGGCGTATTGTCTGAATATTACTTGTGCCCACACACTTGTGTTTGTTATGCACTATGCACCAGCGTTCAACTTGTAACACAGCGTAGTGTCCTTTTCAAGCGAAATGCATGCCTTTCCGTGCTTGAGAACCAGAACCAAATCCCGTTGACACCGGAAATCGCCAGCTGTACATGAGACACTGTCCGCATTACCCGGAAAATGCTATGGTTGGAACGGAACAATCGATGCTCTAAATATAGCAGGCAAAGAGCGAAACGGCCCTGGGCGATGAGCTCGACGATACTTGCAGGATTGCACGCGCAACTGTTGCGCGTCCGTGTCGCACTGCCGGCACCTGAATGTAGCTGTGGCATCCGCCGTCGATGGGGTCCAGGTCCGCCTGCACCATGACAAACCGGATCTGGATATACTGGCTGCTGTTAACTGTGATGCTCCAGGAGAACTGGCTCCGCTGCAGGTACTGCAGGGGGAACAGTGGCGACTCGATCGCACCGGACGGTCCCGACAGGTCCATGCGGCGGGCTGGAACCGAGGCCGGCGTGTGTGACCGGCGGCCCGCGACGGCCCGGCGTCCGCTCGTTCGTCATGGGACGCCGACAGCAGCGGGCACCGGCAGACGACGCACCGCGGGTCGAGGACGACGCACCGACACGTGAGCCTCGCTAACGGGACGTTCATATTGAGCACGCAAAACATCACGGCGCAGCGGGCAGGTGATCGTCGCTTAGTGATGTATGTTGTAACCGATCGATAATGACTTACGGATAGTGTTTTGAAATAGGTTGTACTACAACACCGTTTATGCCGACAGCCGTTAATACTGATGGACATTTCATACCTGAGGCTGGAAACACGGTCCCAGAAATTCATCTAATCAAAAGGTTCTGGCTAGCATATTTTAAACATAGATAAAGCGGCGGCAACCAAATCTCAGGCATCCTGCATCTACGCCCGCAACACGGAAGATATTGGACCCTCGCACCTGTGGCGAATTCGGCCAGGAAGCCGGACCCCGTGCCTGCCTCATTCGAATGGAACCGAACCATCATTGAACCGGTTGAGCTGACGTTCGTCGGGGCCTCCGAGCCACAGAAGTGACCCAGCAGACGTCCCGCCGTAGTCCGCTCCCGCACCTGCCGGCGCACACGCGCAGAGTCAGCTGGCGCAGGACTGAGCACGCCGCCGCTCAGCCGAGCGTGCCACGAGGCATGGAGATCCAACAGCGTCGCACTGAATGCTTGAGTATTGCTTTGATTGTGAAGTATTAAAGGGCGCTTTTCATGGTTTGTCTATGGTCCACTGTGTCTGCTAAAATGACAAACGCAAGGCCGGACGGAATTTTGGAACCTTGCTCTTTGCAAATATGCCAAGACGATGAAATTTTAAAATTT